CTGCCCTCTCCACTCTTTCTTGCAGGAAGTGTGTGTGTTACTGAACGTTTTTCTGTTTTGAGAGGCGCAGAAGGAGTAGCATGCGGTGATGACAATGCCCAGGGAATTCCTGCTCCCTTAAATAGAAATCACAGTTTTTACACGGAGTAAGGACTTGGCAAGATTGCATGCAAAGCAGCGACAGAGGCGAGAAGGTTCTTCAAATGGCTGCAGACAGCAACAGATCAGTTACCCAGCATCACAAAAGTCCTTCACACAGTGCACTGTTAAACTATGGAACTCCCTCCCACAGGGGGCAGTGATGGCCACCAACTTGGATGGCTTTAAAAGAGGATTAGTGGAGGAGAGGGCTATTGAAGGCTACTAGTCATGATGGCTGTGCTCTGCCTCCATAGTTGGCAGAAATGCTTCTGAATACCAGTTGTTGGAAACTGCAGGAGGGGAGAGTTGCTCTTGTGCTTGAATTCTGCTTGCAGGAATACAAGCATCTGGTTGGTCACTGTGAGACAAGGATGCTGGACTAGATGGACCTCCTTTGGTCTGATTCAGCAGACTCTTCTTACTTTTTAAATTATAAAGGTAAAGGGACCTCTGACCATTAGGTCCAGTCGTGGCCGACTCTGGGGAAGAAGCCCACATTTAGCAATGAGTGCAAACGGCAGCACCTTCACTGCTTGTGATTCCAAATCCCAGTCTCTGAGAGACATCCATCCTATGTTGGATGTTGGATATTAGAGGCAGTACATAGCCATCAAAGCAAGCAGCCATTAAGAATAACCTCCATGAATTTGCCTTTTAAAGCCACCCAAGTAGGTAGCGATCACTGCAACTTCTGGTAGTGAATTTCATAGTTCATAATTTTTTTAGGGGTTTTTTTTTGCCCTCTGCAGCAGGGCTTCCGATCAGCTGCAGGAGCTTCCTGGACTCAATCGGAAGCCATGTCGGACATTCGGCTTCTGAAAAACGTTTGCAAACCGGAACACTCACTTCTGGGTTTGCGGTGTTCAGGAGCTGATTTGTTCAGGAGCCAAGCCGTTTGAGTACCAAGGTATCTGATCACCAGCACTGAAATATTTATTGATTTGGATTTATATCCTGCCCTCCCTCCCGAAGGAGTTTAAGGCAGCAGACACAACAATAAAAAAGCATTGGTTGATTCTTTTCCAAAAATGTCTTTTGAGATGTTCAGATGTTCAGCAGCGTCCCTGGGGCTGATTCCACCATCGCCACACACCCCTCTCTGCGTCATTTGATGTGAGTCCCAATGTCATCTGACCTTAGAAGTAAAGATCCCCTGCAGCACCCCACCCATAATCCCGCTTGCCCTATAATCCATCCATTGCGGGAGAAAATGCTGTCTTTGGCATTTTGTCTGCAGCCCTTTTCTGATGATTGAACCCTCCTGAGCAGCTGCAGGACCTTGTCGGATGGCAGCTGGGCAGGCAGAGGAGCCCATTAGTGATATTACATGGGGCTGCAATTCCCAGCGTGATCTGTCAAGACAGCAGTCCCCAGTTCACCCTAGCTGAATGGCAGCAAAGGGCATTTTGCTCGGAGATGAGGATGCCAAGCAGAGAAGCTGGGAATTGGAGCAGCAGTGTAGTGGCAAGTTCAGGAGCGTGGGATCCCTTTACGATAGTCACAGCCACGTCCCTTCTTAGGTTATACAACTTTCCAGGATTATACAATAATCATAAAGAGGGATGTATTGCAAGTATCAATGCAGGTCTCTTGGTGTTGCCTTTCAGCTAGATCTACTATTTTCCACGCACATATGTGGGCAAATGGTTTGGAGTGTTCCAATATCTTCTTTCAGAGAGACTGAAGTTGTGTTTTCCTTGACGTTGCATTTTATGTAACAGAACTGACACACCTTTCTCTTGAAGCTGAAGCACATTGTGTTGTCAGTGCTCCTAAATACTGTACAGTGGTACCTCGGCTTAAGTACTTAATTCGTTCCCGAGGTCCGTTCTTAACCTGAAACTGTTCTTAACCTGAAGCACCACTTTAGCTAATGGGGCCTCCTGCTGCTGCCGGGCTGCCAGAGCACGATTTCTGTTCTCATCCTGAAGCAAAGTTCTTAACCCGAGGTACTATTTCTGGGTTAGCGGAGTCTGTAACCTGAAGCGTATGTAACCTGAAGCGTATGTAACCCGAGGTACCACTGTACTCAGCTTTGGAGCATACGGAACAACTCATTGGACTTCTTCCTGCGCCTTCTCCAGAGAGACCCTAGGAGCCCATCCTCAGTGGTTGACATACCTCCTTTCACTCTGATTGGCTCCAATGGCCAGAAAGGGTGAGAAGACGTCTTCTCATTGGCTAAGAAGCTCCCCTTTTGTGGTGATTGGGCAGCTTTAGGATGCTGGAGACAGAGATGTTGCTGCAGAAATAGTAACAGATCTTTGATCTACCCCATGTCCCCAGACCACTGTACCTCTGAATTGGAGGCAATGTCTCTCTACCATGGCTAAACTCTGGAGGGCTTCAGGTTGGGGAAGGCTTTTCTCTATTGCTCAGAGGTTGGGTTGTATCTAATTAAGTTATACTCTAAGAGTAGACCCATTGAAATAAATGGACCCCAGTCATGCCCATTATTTTCAATGAGTCTCCTCTGAGTAGGACTTGCATAGGCAACAACCCTCACTGCCTGATGTCAACTAGGTATTATTATTATTATTATTATTATTATTATTATGACTTATAGACCACCCTTGATCGAAGATCCCAGGGCAGTGTACATTAAAAACATATTTTAAGAAGCATAATAATAAAACATAATACAAAACATAATAATAGGCAGCATAATAATAAATTAATCATAATCAGCCCCTCCCCCACACCTTTAACAGACTATAGATTATGTATTGGCTGAAGACCTGGGTAAAGAGGAATGCGTTTGCTTGGCACCTAAAGACATGCAATGATGGCGGCAGGCAAGTCTCTCTGGGGAGAGCATTCCAAACAGTGTAGAAATGATATAAATAAATATATAACCAGGGCAGCCAAGGTGGTCTTGGTCCCAGAGCCCAGTTCACTAAGCTCCTAGTAAGCTTTGGCACATGCCCACAGCCACCTTGGCATATCCTGTTGCATGCTGGGTAGTTTCAGCACTTGAGAGGTGCCTGGCTTTTTCTAGGTCCGCTAGTGGGCACTTAACTACAAATCCTTTGGCGATTTGGCCGGGAATGGGGCTTGGAAGAATCACCCTTGGCTCTCAGAATTGGCAATCATAGTTCTGGAAGGCAACCAAAGAGTCGTCCTAGTACAACCTCCTGCAATGCAGGAATCACAGCTAAATCAACATGCTTTGTTTTGAGACTCCAGGTAGATAGACAGTTTGGTGTGTATTATGATCCTGAGATCTTCTATCCCCATGCCTATTCCTAGGTGCTTCTGACCCCCTTTGGCTCTCTGGTAGGGCAGGGCTGCTTCAATGAGACCCAACTGTCTCTGCCGGTTGAGAACGCCTGTCCCTAGGCTAGCGCTGCTGTCCCTCTAGTTCTTCCCGTTGGACCAGCTGGGATTGAGCAGGTAAGCCCAGCTACTGAAGCAACAGTTGTATTATGACACACACAAAGCCTGGGGTGCCTTCAGGTGAGGCAGTCCCTTGAGGACTGCGTGATTTGTAAAAAGGAAGTCCCAATTTCAACACCCCAGGGGCATCTCCCATTAACAAGGCTCTCTTTGACTAAGATTCCCAGAGAGTGGCTGCCAGTTAGGTTATACTGCATTAGATGGCCCCATAATTACTTTATTATTTGTTTATAAGATTGATTTAGCGGTTCCTTTTATACAATACAGAGTCTCAAAGATGCTCAATGAAATAAAAGTACAACACATAAAAGCAATTTAAAGCTATAGTTAAGTAATATAGTGAAGGTGTGAGCCATCGCCATTATTTTGTCTGGAAATTTCTATTAATTGTAAATTAAAAGCAATGTGTCCTATCAGTATTGTAACTCAAGGCCAAGAAGCTACATTGGGAGGGATATAAATCTAGCCAAATTTCAGGGAAATGACTAGTCGGAAAATAGAAAGCTACCTTTTACTGAGTCCGACCATTGGTCTATCTAGGTCAGTATTGTTTACACTGACTGGCAGCAATGGCTGTCCAGGGATTCAGGCAGGGGACACCCAGAGATGCCACTGGGGATTGAACCCATGACCTTCTGCATGCAAAGCAGATGCTGCCTACCTCTGGGTGATATCCTTTGACCTGAGAGCCATTTCAAAAGTCTGCTCTGAATCAAGATCTGTCAGGCCGTTTCTGCTGACCCAAAAAAGGGCAATCCCTGTATGAAGAAAGCTCAGAATGGGCCTGCCCTAATCCTAGGAAGCAGCAGGAGTCAGAAGAATTTGAATATTTATTTATGAACAACAGAAGCAACAACAACTCATAGCAGCTAGGACTTGCTATATAGGCCAAACTAAGGCCATGTTCACATGATACATTTAAAGCACTATGATACCACTTTAAACAGTCATGGCTTCTTCCCCCAAATAATTCTGGGAGCTGTAGCTTGTTATGGGTGCTAAGAGTTGTTAGGAGACCCCTTGACCACTCACAGAACTACAGTTCCCAGAGTTTCCTGTGAAGACAAATCCACTATGAAGCCACATTGGGAATTGTAGCCCTGGAAGGGGAACGGGGTCTCTTCGCCCCTCTAAGCATCCTTGACAAACTATAGCTCCTAGAATTGTTTGGGGGAAGCCATGACTGTTTGAAGCGGTATCAAAGTACTTTAAATATATGGTCTTGATGTGACGTACGTTCCTTATTATTTTCCCAAGGGGCTGTAGAGGGAATCTCACACTCCCAGAGAGGGCAAGTTTCTTTTACAGCTTGGGCCGGCAGGGCACTAATGCCAGCCCAATCTCTCCTCTGGTTAGATCAGGTAAAAGATGTTTTATTTATTTATATTTATTCCATTTATCCACTATCTTCCCCCCTAAGGAACTCAAGGTAGTATATACATGGCTCTCCCCATTTGATCTACACCACAACCTTGTGAGGTAGGCTAATCAGAGGCAGCGACTGGCCCAAGGTTATGCATCTGAGAGTGAGGATTACGAAGCCTTGTCTCCTAGGTCCAGCGCTGTAACCGTTATACCACACTGGCTAACCATGCTACTAACCATGGCAGCCACATGCAACCATTTGAGGGAACTCCCCTCCCCAAACTTAATTAATCACCCTATCATTTGTTGCTGTGGTGAAGTATCTGTGCCAAACCCAAAAGAAACAGTGAGTTGGCTCTCAGGAAGATATAACCGATATGCTTGCAATTAATTAGTCGGTAAAAGGTGTGGCAATTTCTCCTTGCAGATAATTCCCGAGGAGCATGCTCAGTGTGTAGAACGTTCTAGAAGTTCAGTTTGGCCTAGGATTACGGCAGGTTTGGGGGTGTGGAGGGGCTGTGGGCATCTCATGAAGGTGGGTGTAGTGGAGCCTTAAAATCCAGATTGCTGCTGGCCCGTCTGGGTTGTGTTGAGCAGAGCTGTGACATGCCCCTTTGTGGCTCCTGTTCCTCCCTAGCAGGGATGGCGCTCCACCGGACCCAGAAGCTGAACCTCTTGCGGCTGTTGGTGCTTCTCACTGTGGTGCTGGCGGCCATCAAGTATTTCTTCAGGGACAGGTGAGTATCTTTCGGACAGGCATTGCTGCCTTGCAAGGTGGGAGTGGTGAGCCTGCGGCCCTCTCTAGATGTTGCCGGACCCCAAACTTCCATCATCTCTGACCATTGGGCCTGCTGGCTACTGGAAGCTGGAGTTGGCCAACATACCAGGGATGGCCGAAGGGTCCCCCATCCCTGTTGGTTGTCCAGGGTCTGTTTCAAGATTGTGGGTACAGTTGCCTTCCCCAGCCCAGTCCCCTCCAGATGTTCTGGACTATAATTCCCATTGGCCAGCACAGTTGCAGGATTTCTTTATTCGTTTAAATACGGTACTTATATGGTGCTGGGGCTTTGTTTATTTTAAAATATTTATTGGCTGCACTTTTCTAAGAATACAGAGAGGTGGTATAAAACATATGAGATTACAGTAACTTTGATTAAGACAAGAATTAAAGCATCAGAAAGAGCATAATTAAAAACTCCCATAAAAGATGTAGTTCAAAATGGCCGTGCTGGCTGGGACCCATGGGAGTTGTAGTCCAAAATGGCTGTTTGTCAGGAGTAGGTCAGCAATAAAACACACAGTGCCAGAAAAGTTAACTCTTTGTTTGAAGAAACCAAAACAGCTCAGGCCTAGTGATCCCAGCAACTCTTCCCAGTAGGTCTTGCCCTAGTGAGGCAGTTGCAAGGACTGAAGGTCCCTGCTTTCCCACTGCTCTCTAAGACTCCTTCCCTGAGTCCTTCCCAAGGAACCTGGTGGGAGGGGACCTGGCCACAGCAGGAGAGGGAGACCCCATGGCTTCTTCAGCAGCCTATCTCATCTCTGGCTCCTGGCTCTACTCCAGCTTCCTCTCCTGCCGCTGAGTCTGGACTACCCTCTTCCCCGGCCTCTCCCTGCTCCCTAAACCCTGTTGCCTCTTCAGCTTCCGGCACCTCCTTCCCCCAGTCTGTTCCTTCTTCTCCCTCGAACCACTTATCATTGCCATCCCACCACCAATCCCCTAGCTCTGAACCTTCTTCCCCTGGGGGTTCCCCCAGATGGTGCCTCCCACCACTTCTCTGCACCTAGCCAGTCCATGACACCGTGCTGGTTGGGGCTGATGGGAGTTGTAGTCCAAAACATGTGGAGGTCCCGAGGTTGGGGAAGTGGCTGCTCTTGACATTATGGGGAGGAGGGAACTCAGTTCCACATTTGCCAGCAGCTGCACCTTAACCATGTTGCCGGTTTTCTACTCTCTTCCACGCACACAGCTTCTCCCTGAATCAATACAAGGGATCCAGCCAGGAGAGCAGCTTTTGGGGCAAGGCCGGCGACCTCAAGCACTCCGCAGAGCCTCAGGGCCAGTCCTTGGGTATCCCAGATGTCAAGGTTGTGGCAGCCGCCGCCCCTGCGAGGCAGGACGCCAAGAAAAAGGCCCTCCAGGATTTCAGCTTGATGCAGTTGCGGCTGGTCCACCTGGATCTCAAGGGAGCGGCTCCAAAAGTATCCTACCTGGAGCAGGTGAGGAGGCCCACCTTGAGCAGGGCTTGTACGCCAGGTGAATCCTGGTGCTGGAGAAATTATTATAGAGAGTGAAAACTGAAATGTGTGTAAAGAGGTCTGAGCAAGTGATGGTTGGAATGTGAAGGTTGTGTTTGCAAGAGAACCATGAGAGAAGGGCAGGATGACATGTATGCAGGAAGTATTGCTCTAACTAGTAGAAGGAAGTATTGTGATATAGGGACACAATTGCCCTTTTGTTTCCCTTTCCTTCTAAGTGCTTGTGTTGTTTTCATATCTAGTGCACCAATCTGCACTATTTGCTGTTTGTGTTGTACCAGCTTTGCAACACCTAAATAAATGTCCTGTTTTGCTGACTTCTTGACTGGCCATCCAGGTGGAACCCAGAGGGTATTGTACTCCAATATTTCCCCAACACTGGAAGAGGGGAGGGGAAGGGAGAGAGGGGGATAAAGTTGCCAAATACTTTACTAACCCCTGTCACTGTGCTTGATGCCACATCTTGAGCAGCAGACATTAACAGGTGATGAGGTTTCCTCCAGTGCTTGAGCACAAATTGCTTCCTCTGGAAGGCTTTTAAAGTGAACTCCCCCCCCCCTTCTTTCCAGAGAAAGCAATTTAAATACAAACCACTTTCTCTGCAGAGGGGAGAATGCTGAAGATGTGGTCCCACTATGAACCACCTGGTTGGTGCTGAAAAGACGTCTTCACAGGAGGTTGCTGTAATTTACTGGCCAGCAGTTACACCAACTATGTTTGAGCTTAGACAGGTGTCAGTCATCTGACATCATTATCATCTCTGGCGATTGACATGGGAGTGGTCCCTCCCACCTGTCAAATGTGGTCTGCAGGGAGATTAGGAACTGGCCCATGGCCTGATCCAGTTAGCACCTGTCAAAACTAGAACCTGGGAGACCAGAGTTCAAATCTCCACTCAGTCATGAAGTTCACCTTGGGCCAGTCACTGCCTCTCAACCTAACCTACCTCATTGGAGGGGTGTGTGTGTGTGTGTGTTTCACCATTATTTTATTTTGTATACATTGTCCTTAACAGAACTGTGCACTTTAGCTGCGTTATCTCACATGGAAAGATTTTTAACCAGGCACTTAGAAATCTTCTAATCAAACCAATAAACCAGTGAGTGACAGCCATGCTGGCTGGAGCTGCTGAAAGTCACGCTGGCTGTGGCTGATGGAACTTTTAGCTCAAAACATTTGGAGGGCACCAAGTTGGGGGAAACCGCCTTGGATGGTTGCACTACTGAGCTTAGCAATGGTTCCCACGAACCACGATTGGGCAGTTTGACTACAACTACAACTCCCATAATCCCTGAGCACTAGCCTTGCTGGTTGATGGGAGTGGCAGCCCAATAAGATCTGGAGGTCCACAGCTTCCCTGCTTCTGATTTAAGAGAGACCTATTAGTGGATTGAAGCCCAGATGGGACATCCTTTGTTTCTCTCCTTCTGCCTCCTCTCTGGAGCCAATTCTAAGAACAGAAGAAGAGCCTTGGAACTGGATCAGGCCAAAGGGGACCTATCTAATCCCACATCCTGTTCTCACAGGGGTCAACCAGATGCCCCCAAAGGAAGCCCAAAAAGCAGGATTTGAGAGCAATAGTGTTCCCCCATTCTTGTTCACCACTCTAGGGTTCCATTTAGGAATCATAAGAAACTAAGAAAGCCCTGAGTCTGCATAAGTCCCAAAGGGAGGAGAGCATCTAATCCTGTTCTCACAGTGGCTGGCCAGATGCCCCAAAGGGAAGAAGCCCAGATGAGTCAAACAGCTCTCTCATTCCAAGGCACAATGCCTCCAACAGTGGAGGAGAGAATATATCCATCAGGGTTAGTAGCCAATGATCGCCTTCTCCACAAATTTGTGCAGGTTCCTTTTAATGCCATTTGAGGTGGTGGCCCTCAGTGCCAGTTCTGCCAGTTAGTGTGCTTTGCCACATTGCAATTGTACCCTTTTGGCAGCTGGATGGTACATCTCACATGTGCTTCTCTTCAGATCTTCCCGCTTTTCTCCAAGCTGGGTGCCAACGGCATCCTGATCGAATACGAAGACATGTTTCCTTTCAAGGGAGACCTCGAGATCCTCAAGTCTCCGTACGCTTACAGGTAAGAGGTCTGCCTCAGTCGCTACTGGTCTGCTCTGTGTGTTTGGTTGGTGCCATACAATTGTGAGGGCATCCAGGCCAAGACCTGACCCTGTGCACCAGAGAGGTGGCGCTCCTTGGATTTGGGTCTCTATCCCATTTCATTGCCTCATGGCAGGACCGGCTCTGTGAGGTTTGACTTCTTGGAAGCGGCCTCCCTTTCTGCTCCTACCTGCCAGCTCAACAAGGTCTCTGGGATGCTGGCACCTTGTGGCTGACTGGTGTTCTTGTCTCCTGACAGCGAAGAAGACATTGAGAAAATCCAGGAGTTGGCAGCGCTCAACAAACTGGAGCTGATCCCTTTAGTGCAGACCTTTGGCCACGTAGAGGTAGGAGAACCCCCTTCTTCATTCCAGCACTGCTGGTCTTTGGTTGCCTTTCTGGTAGATCTATGACCTGATCTCTCCCCTTCCGCCACCCTGCCTTTGGTGTCCATGCATACCATGCTGGCCGAGGCTAATGGAAGCTGTAGTCCAAAAACAGGGCTGTACTAGATGGGAATCATGGGAGTTGTAGTCGAAAGCATGCCTATCCTGGTTAGGGCTGATGGAAGCTGTAGTCCAGGGTTTCCCAAACTTGAGTCTCTAGCAGTTTTCGGTCTATAATTCCCATCATCCCTGACCACTAGGGATGATGGGAGTTGTAGTCCAACAACAGCTTGGTAAACCCTGAGCTAGGAGAAGGCAGACTATTGACAGCTGCTTTTCGCCTGTGAGTTTTGTAACCTTAATGGCTGTGTTGTTTTAAAATTGTACTTCCCCCACCCCATATTTTCTGCTGCTGCTGCCTCCCATCCCCTCCAATAGAATCTTGACCAATCTTGCTCAGGGAGGGCTAGTCTTTCCTTGGATTGCCTGCAAGGAAGAAGGGTGTAACTGTTCAGAGTGATGCAGCCTTCATATCTGGTTAGGCCAGTTCTTGCCCAGGGAGCTGGACTCCAGTTGTGCCGCTGAGCAAACAATGACTACTTGTTCTGATTTGTTAAAGGTGCAGGAACTGGTTCCCTTGACCTGGGCAAGCCAGCAGGGTGGGGTGGATTCTGCATGGAGCAGATTCTTTAATAGCAGTCGGATAGACAAATTAAAGATGTGAAGGGGTGTTTTCTTTTTGCATGGGGAGAAAATTATGGAGGCAGCTAGGACTGCTGAATCTCTGAGTATCAGGTTGTTTTTGCAGGGATGCACAGAATTGCAGAGAAGGAAGGGATCCCAAGTGTCATCTAGTCCAACCCTCTGCAATGGAAGAATCACAGCTAAATTAGCTGCAGGAAGGGCCATAGGAAAGTGGGAGAACAGCTGCCCAGCATGCAGAAGGTCCCAGGTTCAAACCCCAGCAAGTCTGTGTGGGGCTGGGAATGTCCTCTGCCTGAAACTCTGGAGGGTCGCTGCCAGATGGTGTAGGCAATTCTGAGTTCGGTGGACCAAGAGGTCAGACTCAGTATAAGACAACTTCCCTTGTTCCTAGATCAGACTTGTACCACTTGCCAACCTGTGTTAACAGTTGCCCCCAGGAGAGCAGCTGCAAGACGTTTTCTTAACACAGAAGTTGCATTTAGTATTTTCTATTTGCTGGACTGCCATGAAGGACTTCCTGTTAGTATATTTTTGGGAGCGGGTGAGTTAAATGGTTCAGTGTGGACTAGTCACTTGCGAAGCTGCAATAGATGGTCTATGCCAGTGGTTCTGAAAAGGGGTGGTGGGATTACTTAGGGGGGGGCACTAAGAGGCACGCGGCAGCGGGGTGGGGGTGTTTGTGGGCCTCTCCAAGTGCATTGATCTCTTATTTACAATTGCCCAGGCTAGAACCTAGAGCAAAACACCTTCCCTGCTTGGTATTTAAAGTTTTATTGCTCTTATCGCTTTCAAAGTGTTTACGATTCTGAGTTGTCACAAGTCACAGGACAGCCAAGTATTGGGAATAGCTATTGATTTTCTTATAAATTAGTTACCATACATATCTGTGGTAGGTGAATGTTTGTGTGTGTTTAATAAGTAGTTATATATTAACATTTTATGCTATGCATTTCCTTATGTTTTCGTTAGGAAGAAGACATAAAAAAAATTGTGTGCAATGTCTGGTATCACTGGATCGTTGATCTGTTTTGTTGAGTTAAACAAAGTAGTTTTAATTGGATTTTGAACCAATGTGCAATTAATTGTTACTGTTTTGAATTTTATCTTATTAGTTTTTAATATTGCTTTTGATGCTGTATCCTGCCCTGGGACATTAGGGTAAAGGGTGGGAAATTAATTTAACAACAACAACAACAACAACAACAACAACAACAACAATGTATAAATAAATAAATAAATGTGCCATTTTCCTTAGTGGGTCATGCAATCCATTAGTCAGAATAATGCTTTTTATAGGGTAGGGGGCACTGGGGATGAGTTTACAGAACCATGGGGGCTGTGGCCCAAAAAAGTTTAGGCACCCTGGTTTGTGCTGTCCCCCGAGGTCTTCCCCTTTCCCCATTCATGCCCCAGCTTCCTCTCCTCCTTTCTCCTGCAGTTCATCCTGAAGCATGACAAATACCGGCACCTCCGGGAGGTGGAGCGCTTCCCCAACAGCTTCAACCCCCACGTCCAGGAAACAATGGCCGTCGTGAAGTCTGTGGTGACCCAAGTCCTGAGCAAGCACCCACAGGCCAACTGGGTGCATATTGGGGCAGATGAGGTAAAGGAGCTGGATGGGGGGGGGAAGGTTAGATAAGGTGGACAAAGTCTGTTCCTCAATGGTAGAGCCCCATCCTGCATGATAAGTACTTAGCTAACTGAAGTCATTCACAAAACAGTTGTTGATAGCACAGACATCCTGGCATTGGCACCAGAGTCCTTGAGCTTCTCAAGCCTCTCTTCATATCTGTTGCTCCACCTGTTTTGACTCTGGCCCTGCCCTCCACTGGCATGTGGCCCTCAGATGGCTATCCAGAAAGGAATCCACATGGGTTCAAATAACCCCCCCCCACTGCTTTAGGAGCAGAGAATGTTGGTGTTCTCCCTGGTGGCACCAGGCTGGAATGGACTACCTGGGCAGGTGGAGGTCTCTCTTTCATTGGAGGTTTTTAAACAGAGCTTGGATGGACATCTGTCAGGGATTCTTTAGCAGCAATTCCAGAAAAGCAGGGGTTGGACTAGATGACCCCTGGGGTCCCTTCTGACTCTTATGATTCTATGATTGCTCCCAGCAAATGACCCCCTTCCTTGCCAGCGTGCCAGGCAGGCTCTTGACTTGTGAGCCTGCCAGGTTCCTCCTGGTACCAGCCTTGGCCCTGACGTTCGTACCTGGCTCCTCCTGCACCTTCCGTTACCAGCTGCCCTCCTTTCTCCTTCTGTCCCTCCAGGTCTTCCATCTAGGGGAAGGGATGGACTCCAAGAACTGGATGAGTCGCAACGCCGGCAACATGGGCAAGATGTACCTGAACCACATACGGGATGTGGTCAGCTTCATCACTGGCCAGTGGGGTCTGCATACCCTCCTCTGGGATGATATGCTGCGGAAGGTTGACATGGCAGCCATTCAAGGTCTGTGGTGCTTTCAGAGTCTTGTTTGGTTACTCCAGACTTTGCCACCCTGGGCTTCTTTGGGAAGAGGAGCAGGATTTTATTTTATTTTAATTCTAAAGACTTCATTGCGTAACAGCACAGCAAAGAACCAAGTGGTGACTTGCCATTATAGACCCATAATGGATGCTTAGCTTGGAACAGAAAAATCTTCTATTTAAAATCTACAACTGGATACACAATGGTTTTTGTGATGGTGGTTGTGTCTCTAGCAGCGATCAGTTGAGTTGCCTTTATTTCATTTGTTTATTAGCCCAGTTCTAAGTTGTTAATAAAACTTGGCTTATTAAACCGTTGCTTAACACCACATATGAATCCTACCCAGCAGCTTAACTATGGTTTGTTTACTGCCAATAAACCTTAGTTTCTTGATGGACACAAACCTTGGTTTGTTTGAACTGTGGTTTGGCATTATGTGTGAACCATCTAGGCCTTTCTGGACTACAGATCCCATCAGCCCCAGCCAGCATGACTACTGGTCAAGGATTATGGGAGTTTTGAGTCCTTCAACATTCCTGCAGTAGACATCTGGGCACAAGGGACTAGGCTTAGGAAATTAGGGCTGTGGGTCTGAGGACAGCAGTGAAGAGCAGCAGGATAGAGGGGAGAGAAGGGAGATGGGAAGAGAGAGTGGGCAGAGAGGAGATGTACATGTGTCCTGGGGCCACAAAGCTGTGGAAGAAGGAAGTTCACAAGCTGATGTGAAAGAGCCAGCCAAATCTTTGGCTGCAAGGCTCTAGTCCTTAATGTCTTGTTGCTGAGGTTGTTGAATCTAGGGTGGGAGCAGCAGCACCTCCTCTCCACCTTCTCATTTTGTTTGTCGATTTAAATCTTTTCAGACTCTGGCATTGCCAAACACGCTTCTCCTGTATTGTGGTTTTACGCCCCGGACTTTGATACGCAGCAAATAGGTTTGTGGGGGTTATTTGTTCATTTTTATTAAACAATCTATATCTTGCCTTTCTATTTTTTAAAAAAAGTTTTCATGGCAGCTTACAAATGGAACATTAAAATACAAGAGGGAAAGCAACAAAAGAAACTGGTGAAATTGGCAGATAAATTTAGAATTAAAAGGCGGGGTAAAGAAACCAGGTGTTAGACGAACCTTCCCAGGAAGAGAATTTCACAGCCAGGGAGCCACCATCAAAAAGGCTCTCTCCCTGCCGCAACCTATCTCACTTCAGATGGTTGGGGGCTGGTCTTGGAGGAGGCGATCCCTTCAGGTATGGAAAGATTGGCAGGGAATAAAGGAGTGGGGACACCAGGATGTTTTTGTAGAACATGTACAATTCTTATACATATATATCACATGTGAGAGTCAGCGTGGTGTAGCGGTTAGACAAGGACCTGGGAGACCAGGGTTCAAATCCCCATATTGCCATGAAGCTCCCTGGGTGACCTTGGGCCAGTCACTAACTTGCCTCACATGATTGTAAACTGGGGAAGTCTGTATGCCACCATGAGCTCCCAGGAGGAAAAGTGGAATATAAATGTAATGAATAAACATACAAACACCCTCCCCCCCAAAAAAAATAAAAGCCATGGCAGCATGCTAGCAATAGAACAAAATCAGCACCCTCAATTAATAGCCCAGCTGGTAGAGCATGAGACTCTTATTCTCAGGCTCTTATATGAGCCCTACATTGGGCAAAGAATTCCTGCATTGCAGGCATTTGGAATAGATGACCCTCATGATCTCTTCTAGCTCTACAGTTCTATGATTTTGTGATCAAGGCTGGGCTGGAGGGAGGTAAGTCTTTCCCTGGCACTGAAAGATGGCACAGCAGACCTAACCCGTCAATGTCCTCTGTGCATCCAGGGCGATCCTTCCTCATCTGTCTTCTCCTCTGTCTCCTAGGAAAATACATTGCCAAGTATGCAGAGTGTGGCTTCAAGACCATCTGGTTCGCCAGCGCCTTCAAGGGCACGACAGGCCCCGCTCAGGCTTGGACACCCTTAAACAACCACCTGCAGAATCACCTGAGGTGGCTGAAGGTCATCCAGTCCATGTCGAAGATGCCCTCCATCCGGTTCCAGGGCATTGTCCTCACCGGGTGGCAAAGGCAAGTCCAGGGAGGGCGCTCTGCCCTGGGGTGGGAGGGACCTCAGGCTCTCCAGGCATCTGTGTCTGGCCCTCTTGACTCTCCCTGGGCCACACCCTGTCTGTAGGACACAGCCTCTCTCTCACCTGTCTTCCTCCACTGGCCCTCCTTGAGTGCTTTTGCTTTGCTGGAATACATCCTTGAACCCTGATAGGTCAACATTCGCAGCACACATTTAAAGCTCTGTTGGTAGAGCATGAGACTCTTAATCTCAGGGTTGTGGGTTCGAGCCCCACGTTGGGCAAAATATTCCTGCATTGCAGGGGGTTGGAGTGGATGACCCTCGTGGTCCCTTCCAGTTCTTCAGTTCTGCGATTCTGTGATTTTATGATCTACAGTGGTACCTCTGGATGCGAACGGGATCCGTTCTGGAGCCCTGTTCGCATCCTGAAGCAAACGCAACTGGTGTCTGCCTGTCTGCGCAGGTTGCGATTCTCCACTTCTGCACATGCGCGTGACGTCATTTTGAGTGTCTGTGCATGCGCCGCAGACACTCAAAATGACGCGCTCCATTATTTCTGGGTCGCCGTGGAGTGCAACCCGAAAATGCGCAACCCGAAGCTACTTCAACCCAAGGCATGACTGTAACTTCAAACAGTCATGTCTTCCCCCAAAGGATTTTGGGAGCTGTAGTTTGTTAAGGGTGCTGAAAGTTGATGGGAGACCCCTCTATTTCCCCTTGCAGAACTACAATACCAAGTGGTTTAACAATCAACCCCCCTTCACTAATAACTCTAATCTCCCACATCCAGGGGCTATGTATTGCTATTTAGTGGGGAAGGGAAGGCACTCTGTTCATGTTCAGAGGCAAGTTGTTTATTCCATCAGGGAGCTGCTTCATATTGAGCCAGACTTTCAGGGTTTCTCTTCCAGCCCTGCTGGGAATTTCCAGGTATTGAATCTGGCACCTTCTTATAGAATGGCTTTCTCAGAGAATCGTACAGCTGGAAGGGGCTCTGAGTATAATCTAGTCCAACCCCCTGCAAATCTAGTCCAATCGCCTTAGGGGACCGAACCTGCAACTTCGCCATTGTCAGCACCACTTCTGCTTTCAAAGCAGTTGCTCTACCACTTCCCTATAGTCCTTCCCTTTAAAATACAGTAGGATTCCAGTCTACAGTGTTCTGAATATAGGACTGGCTTAAATAATAACACAGGAAGCTGCCTTGTACCAAGTTAGACCCTTGGTCTCTCTAGCTTGGTATTGCCTACACTGACTGGCAACAGGTTTCCAGGGTTTCAGGTGGGGGTCTTTCCCAGCCCTACCAGGAGATGTCAGGGACTCAATATGGGGCCTTCCGCATGCAAGGCAGGTACTCTACCACTGAACTACAACCCGTCTCAGAGAATCCTGAGCTACCAAAGGAAATAGAAGCTGTTGTTTCTGTGAGCGTTCTGTGGACTCCCAATGAAATGTGGCACCAGGAGGGTTGTGGTGATAAATAATGGGGGGCTCCCACCCAAAAGGTATCGACTGGCCTCTCTCCTCTCCCTTTGCAGGTATGATCACTATTCAGCTCTGTGTGAGCTCCTGCCTGTGGGGATCCCTTCGCTGGCTGTGTGTCTGCAGACTTTGGTGAATGGTGAGGGGACTTGGCTGGGGAGCTGTGCAGCGGGAGGGGGTGTCTGTAGGAAAGGCAGCACGATGGGTGGAGTATAAGTGTTGCAGTCGCATCTCATGCGCATTTAACTTGTGCAATTTCAACTGTGCACGGCTGAAGGCAGACTGGCCGAAACTGCACAGATTAAATCTAAGCAACGGGTTGGGTTTATTTGGCTCAGAAAGAGCTTTTCAGCTCTCTCCCTTGTTTTGGAGCGGGGGGGGGGGCAGGGGTAAGTCCCAGTCAGCATGCCAGCTCTTGAGAGATCTCACAGGGTCGTCTGAGTTCCTGCGAGATCTTCCACAAGCATCTCTAGCGTTCCAGAGCCAGTGCACTGAGCGGGCCTTGCCCCCCAAGCAAGGCAGAGAACTTAACAGCTCTTTTTGCATGAGGTTTGCTTGGGGTTAAAGGTAAAGGGGCCCTTGACCATTAGGTCCGGTCGTGGCCGACTCTGGGGTTGCAGCACTCATCTCGCTTTATTGGCCGAGGGAGCCGGCGTACAGCTTCCGGGTCATGTGGCCAGCATGACTAAGCCGCTTCTGGCGAACCAGAGGAGCGCACGGAAATGCCATTTACCTTCCCGCCGAAGCGGTACCTATTTATCTACTTGCACTTTGACGTGCTTTCAAACTGCTAGGTTGGCAGGAGCAGGGACTGAGCAACGGGAGCTCACCCCGTCGCGGGGATTCGAACCGCTGACCTTCTGATCGGCAAGTCCTAGGCTCTGTGGTTTAACCCACAGCACCACCCGCGTACTTGGCACAAAAGAGCTTTTAAGCTCTCTGCCTTGCTTGCTAGGCAAGGCTCTGGAAGTATGGGGGATTCTCTCTCTTTCCCCTCACTTATTAGCTGTGTGGGCAGCTCCAACATTTGGGGTATTCGCTATTTTTGCGTATATGCTGAACCCTTGGCACCAAACCCCTGTGTAAGATTTTATTGCAATGTATTAAGTGTCTCTCACTCCTGCCTTTGCCTTTAATCTCAGTGCCAATCAGCTAGTGTTGGACCAGCAGCAGAGCAGCGTAGTCTTCTTTCTTGCCCATAAGTCACAGAGGACTAACAGCTTAAATTTCCCATTCACATCACCCAGTTTAGAACCCCAAGTTGCTCTGCATGGAAGCACTTGCTTCAATGGAAACTCAGCTGGGCAAAATATCCACTAACACATCCCCTCTCCCGCACCCCAAATTCTCTTGCCACAGGGGGATTTACAGAAGCTACCAAGAAGAAGGTTCTGTCCATGCTTGGCTTCGAGAACATGCAGCTGGAGAAGAGCATATGGTGTGTAGGGGGTTGAATGGGGCAGGGATGTCACCTGGTGATAGGGTGGGGGCAGTTTTCGAGTGGTTGAGTGGTCATTCTTGTACCAAGCAGTTGCTGGGCTACTTGTGGATAGCCAGTGAAGCTGAACGTTGGACGATTCAGGCCAGGTAAAAGGAAGGACTTCTCCACACAGCATGTAGTTAAACTGTGGAACTCACTCCCACAGGAGGCAGTGATAGCTGTTAACCTAGATCAGGGGTCGGCAACCCGTGGCTCCGGAGCCGCATGTGGCTCTTTTACACCTTTGCCGTGGCTCCGGGGCAGATACTAGCAAGGGGAGGAGGCGCATTGTGCGCCCCGACACTCCCCACTGTGGCTGGCGCTGTACTGGCTGTGACGTCGCATGGGGGCGGTGCGTGTGTCAGTCACGCACCGTCCCTACGTCACCTTCCCGCCCGCCCACCCGCTACATTGTAAGGGGCATGTACGCTGGTCACTGCATTGAAAGGGGGCATGTACGCTGGTCACTGTTTTGAAGGGGAGTGAAGAACACACACACACACACACACACACAAAAAGGTAACTTGTTAATTTAACGTTTATTTCTATGAGGAGGAGTAATTCTGAGGGGTCAAACAAAGAAATAATTTTAAAAAGTGACAAAAAAGTTATTTTTATAATGACGAGTTTTGCGGCTCCCAGTTTTTTTTCCTTCGGAAACGGGTCCAAGTGGTCCTTTTTGTCTTAAAGGTTGCAGACCCCTGACCTAGATGGCTTTAAACAGGGGTGGACTTTGGTAATATGGCGCTTTGAGCAGAGACCAAATTCCCCCCCCCCAATATAATTTATTTTGGTACAGTTGCTTTTAAAATGGATGTTTTTGGGAGGTACCCATATACAGTAAATATAGGTCTTACTATTAATCATCATCATCATCATTATTTCTTAAATCTGGCACAGCTTTAAAAGAGGATTGGACAAATTCATGCCGGCAGAGACTATTAACGGCTAGCAGCCAAGATTGCTATACTCTGCCTCCACATTTGAAGACAGCAATGCTTATGAGTACCATTTGCTGGAAACCAGAGGGGAGAATACTCCTGTGCTTGAATCCTGCTTGCTGGTTTCCCACTGAAGCATCTGGTTGGCCACGATGAGAACAGGATGTTGGACTGGACGGGCCACTGGTTTGCTCCAGCAGGCTCTTCTAATGTTCTTATGTGAGCAAGTGCGTAGAGATTTAGCTGGGGGTGAGCTGGCAACCATTTGTACACATCTCACTCAGCATCTGTGGTGCCTCAACATTTCTTTCCCCCCCCCTCCCGCCCTTCCTGTGTTTTTTATTAGTGATGGCAATGGGGCATTTCCAGGTTCTGATATCTACCGTATGGTGGAACAGGTCACGGGGCAGCTAAGAGACTCCGTTATCAAAGTCCTGGAAGAAGAGAGGTAAGGAGATCTGGAATGGTGGCAGACATGTGTGTGTGCATGTCAGGATGAAACCAAAGTTCCTTCCACCGCCATAAAATAATAAATAAATCTAAACGTATCTATTTAACAAAATCTACATGTCCCTTGATTATAATAAAGCTTCAAAATAGCTTACGTAAAAGAAAAATAATCAATGAATGACAGTCTAAAAAGCAGGTATTTAAAAAGCATTGAAACCAACAACAAGCAACAATAATCTAAAAATGGATTAAGACACATGTGACTTTTGCCAGGATCGCTTTGCTTAAACAAAGAAAATAATGTTTAAGTAGGTAGTGGAAAGCACATGTAAAGCATAGGACTTTCCCCCAAAGAATCCTGGGAACTGTACTTTACCCCTCACAGCACCCTTATCAAACTACAGTTCCCAAGATTCCTTGAAAGAAACCATGCACTTTAAATGTACAGGGAGGCTGTGATGCAAGGCAGCTTTTCCCTTAAATTTCCCCCCCCCCCAACGGTGCTGGTCTAAATGGAAAGTGGGGGGGGGTAGCAGCGCCTGTGTTGCAACTAGTTTGGGGACAGAAAACCTTTTGGGATGGCACAATATAGTATTCCTTACCTTCACAAACGACCTTTTCAGAATTGTCCCATAGCCAACCTGTGTTCTATCCCGCCTTACAAATGAGGTGGATGTTCATTGGCGCTCCCAAGTTGACAACAAAAACTAGGAAATCTGTCTGCTGTCCAGGATTCTTGTTTACTTGAAGCAGGATGCAGAGGGAGCTGACAGCAGGAGAAGGCGGTTGGAAAATGGGGAGAACGGAAGAACACAACATTTGCTCAAAATCACAACAGTGTGTGCTCATGGGGGATAAAGCAGCTATCCGTGGCTACTAGCCACAACGGCTGTGTTCTACCTCCACTAGTGGAGACAGGATGCTTCACAATACCAGGTACCAGGAATTGCAGGAGGGGAGAGGGCTGCTGCGCTCAGGACTTGCTTGTGGGTTTCCCCAAAGAGGCATCTCATTGGCCTCTGGGGCTAAATGAGCCGGCACTTCATCCAGCAGGACTATTCTTAACATTATTATTTTTTTAAAAGTGATTTTTATTAGTTTTCAAATTACTATGGAAACACAGAGACAAGTAAACAAGAACAAAAAAATCCATAGTAACTCCAGCTAACGGCAGGGCATTCGAAACCTAAACATGTTAAATAATAACACCCAGTCTAAAATAACGGCAGTCGTATTTCTTTAGACAGCGTGGGGAGAGAAACCTGTAACCCTGAAACTTAACTATATGAAATAAAATCCCACCGTATGGAATAGAAGTGATCAGGATCTTCCTGTCCCTTAGAGACCCAGAACTTATGTGGCATTTCTTCTGCAATAACTAAATTTAATATATTTTTGTACTCTTAATGAGATAGGTTTTAAAAATGATTTCCACTGTTGTGCTGTAGAGTTCCTGGCAGCTGCCAGCATCCATGTCAAAAGATCCTTTTGGCAAAATGTCTTTGTAGTTCACATATTTCGTTAGGGATAAATGGAGGGAATTTTGAATGTGTGTTTAAATAACCTTTGATATCTCCTGATAAGTTTCATTGTGGAATGAAGCAAGGGTATTCACACCATAGATGGGGGCGGGGGGAGTCCCTTTGTTCCCACAACCTCTCCAACGATTCTGTGATGTATTAGAAGAAATATGGGAAAGTTGAACAGGCATCTTACATTCTTAACTGTTTTTAGCCTTAATTTTAAGGCTCGCCCTAATTAATTACTTTCCCTTATGGCTGCTGCATACCTGCATGGCCTCTTAAATAAAAAGAGCTGCAGATAAGGAAAGTAATAGTCCCACTCTATTCTGCCTTGGTCAGACCCCACCTGGAGTGCTGTGTCCAGTTCTGGGCACCACAGTTTAAGAAGGATATTGACAAGCAGGAATCGTGTGCAGAGGAGGACGACCAACATGCTCAAGGGTCTGGAAGCCAAGCCTTGCTTATGTGGAACAGTTGAGGGAATTGGGGATGTTTTGCCTGAAGGAGAGAAGACCAAGAGGTGATATCACAGCCATCTTCAGATATCTAAAGGGCGGTCCCATGGAAGATGGAGCATTGGCTCCCAGTACATTTCCGAGCACAATTCAAAGTGTTGGTGCTGACCTTTAAAGCCCTAAACTGCCTCGGTCCAGTATACCTGAAGGAGCATCTCCACCCCCATCGTTCTGCCCGGACACGGAGGTCCAGCGCTGAGGGCCTTCTGGCGGTTCCCTCACTGCGAGAAGCCAAGTTACAGGGAACCAGGCAGAGGGCCTTCTCGGTAGTGGCACCCGCCCTGTGGAACGTCCTCCCACCAAATGTCAAAGAGAAGAACAACTACCAGACTTTTAGAAGACATCTGAAGGCAGCCCTCTTTAGGGAAGCTTTTAACGTTTAACACATTACTGTATTTTAATACTTTGTTGGAAGCCGCCCAGAGTGGCTGGGGAAACCCAGCCAGATGGGCGGGGTATAAATAATAAATTATTATTATTATAAGCTTGCTTTCTGCTGCTCTGGAGGGTAGGACGTGAACCAGTGGATTTAAATGGCAAGAAAGAAGATGCTGACTAAACAATAGGAAGAGCTTTTTGACTGTAAGAGCTGTTTTGACAGTGGTTGGATGTTCATCTGTCAGGGATTCTGGAGCTAGGAGTCCTGCATTTCAAGGGGTTGGACTAGATGCCCCTTGAGGTCCCTTCCAACTATGCAGTTCTATAATTCTATGATTTAATCCCCTGGATGCGATTTTAGGGTGTGTAGGACACAGCAGGAGCTGTGGAATATCCTGCTGGGTTGAGGGAAGAGAGGAAGCAGAGCCTGTGTTACCCAGAGCTCCTGTTCTAAATATAAAAGGAAGCAAACAAACCTTTAAAACAATCAGTTAGCTTCCTTTCCTGGAACAAGCTGTCTCAGCCTTCACACACTGCTGTTTGCTTTGCTTTTTAAGTCGTACCTATTTATACATATCGATAGCACAATTACAGTGTAATAACATTCTAGTTCTGAAACTGACAATTAAAAGTCCGGACTGGCAGTCCGATCCCTGGGAATGTTTATATGGAAGGCAGGCTGAGACCCTTCTTGCCCTGGATTGCAGGCCTTCTTTAGACATTGGCCAGAGTCAACAGAAGATGATCTGAAACTGTTTTGCTAGCCTTCCAGCCAGAGGACAACAGGAAATTTTAAGTTGAGCCACTAAGCTGCAGGAAAAGCTGGGCAACAAAGATCAGGATAGAAGTTCAGGGAAGAGTTGCAAATCAAGCACCCCCAAAGGTGAGAAGAGGGTAGCAGTGCAGCATTCAGGTTCAAAGATGCAAAGCTTCAAACTCAACCTCCTTTAGAATATAGGTCAGCAAAACAAACCGGAAAATGCAACTGGCTAAGATAAATGGATAGACATTGTTTTGGGAGCTGTACAATTGCGCTTTGGTGGAATAGCGCAGCTAACGCATGTGTGCAGATTCCAAGTCAGTAGCCACACACACACAAGGAGGGTGCTAAAATTGTGGTGAGAAGCACCTGTCAAGAGAGGGGTGTGTGTGTCAAAAGGGGGGTGTTGCAACACTGTCTCACCCTCTTTGTGAGCAGAACATAGAGAGATGTAAAGGTAAAGGGACCCCTGACCATTAGGTCCAGTCGTGGCCAACTGGGGTTGCGGCACTCATCTCGCTTTATTGGCCGAGGGAGCCGGCGTACAGCTTCCGGGTCATGTGGCCAGCATGACTAAGCTGCTTCTGGCGAACCAGAGCAGCGCATGGAAACACCGTTTACCTTCCCGCCGGAGCGGTACCTATTTATCTACTTGCACTTCGACATGCTTTCGAACTGCTAGGTTGGCAGGAGCAGGGACCGAGCAACGGGAGCTCACCCCATTGTGGGGATTTGAACCGCCAACCTTCAGATCGGCAAATCCTAGGCTGTGGTTTAACCCATAGCGCCATCTGCATCCCTAGAGGGATGTATAGCCCCCCCAAAAGTGGTGCATACCCTTAAGCGCAGACCAGGGTGGTCCAACGTGTGGCCCTTGAAGCCTTTTGGGTGGCCCTCAGCAACATTTGACGACCACCCCAACCCTCACGGTAAGTGAGACACATTCCCAAAGCCTAGTTAGTGCTTTCCCAGATTTGGGAAGGAGGTGGGGAGAACTTTAGGATGTTGCCAGAGCTTCATGCCTCCTTCCCAAAGCCCAGCATCTTGCATACCTTTGGGAAGGCAGTACAAAGACTGTGTGTGTGTGTGTGTGTGTGTGTGTGTGTCTCAAATTTTGGCCTTGGTCCCTCCCACACCCTTTGCTGTGCCCTTTGTCTGGAAGCACCTCAACAGCCATGTGGACCCACTGTTTTAATTCTGCTTCCAGGGACTGCAGAAAATTAGACAAGGAAACTGCCTTAGTCTGACCAATTGGTCAGTCTAGCTCAGTACTGTTGGCAGTTGCTCTGCTGCTAAGCTGTGGCACTTCCCCTGTTTTGCTTTTAGCCTTAATGCATCAGCAACCCACATTTCTCACCCCCAGAAGAAATAGTGTTAGGTAAAGACATCCGCCATCTTGTAAACACTCCCCTCCTCGTACGGGGAGAAACTAAATTGGACCAGTAAAAAAGGGGATTTTGGCTGCTGTTTAAAGGATGCATTTTTAGTGTCCCTGATGCTGCTGAGTTAGGAGTCATGGAGGTTTCATTGCCTGAGTCATAGAATCATACAGTTGGAAGGGACCTTGAGGATAATCTAGCCCAACCCCCTGCAATGTTGGACTTTGTAGCTGTTCCTTATGGGGATCAAAACTACAGCCTTGGCATTATCGGCACCACTCTCTAGCCAACCGAGCTATCGTAGCTTTGAGTGTTTTGATGCAATTGCCTGGTCTGTCTTCGTTTGGCTGCTTAATGGGGTTTCTCTTTCTTTCTTCTCTCCCTGTGCACGACAGCTCTGTCAAGGGATGGTTCAGTCCTTACCATCGGAAGCACCAGTTTGGAAACCCTCGTAACCTGGAGAGCTTCGGTAGCAAAGTTCTCAAGTGAGTGAGCACACACACCCTGCGAAGTGATTGAGGGGTGGGGTGGCAAGGCAAGGGGGTGGGGGCTCAGTCCTCTATTTATTTACTTATTTATTTACTGCATTTATATCCTCCCTTTTCCTCTGAGAGCGCAAGGTGGCATATGTGCTTTCCCTGCCTCCCCATTTTAGTCCTCACAACAAACCTGTGAGGTAGGTTAGGCTGAGAGTGAGTGACAGTCCCAAGGTCACTTAGTAAGCCTCATGGCTGAGTGTAGATTTGAACCCTGGTCTCTTCCAGGTCCTAGTCCAACACTGTAGCTACCACACTATATAAACTGAGACCTCTTGATTAGGAACAGGCAAATCTGTCAATCACAGTTTCTCTCAGTTTCTCATTTATCTGGGTCCAGTCTCCACATCAGTTCACGAATTCTTTTTCTTTTAATGTCCCCATGAAAATCCACCAGTGTTTCGGTGCAAATTTCATGTAAAATACACTTAATACATTTCTGTATGTTATTTTCAGTAATTATATGCCTTTTTATGCACACTTTACCCTAGTTAGTACATGCACATTTTTGTACATATTACTTGACTGGAGAACTACATTGCTAAATTCAGAGAAGCAAACATTGCAAAGGATGGTCATGCTTCTGTCCGCATATAGTTACAGGAAGTGAGAATTAGGAAGAGTCACCTTTCTATGTGAACTGAGTCAAATTCCTTCGCCATTCCTAACTATTGAGTACCAGCTGGGGAAGTTGTGTGTGTTTTATGAATAAATGGTTATTTGCCATTGCAAACAGACAGGAAGGGACATTGCATTCTAGGTCAGCCTTTGCCAACCTGGTGCCCTCCAAATGTCTTTGACTACAACTCCCATCAGCCCCAACTGGTGCAGATGGTTTGGATGCTGGTCCAAATCTTTGAGAGGGCAGATGTTTGGCAAAAGGTTGTTTTTTTGCAGCTGAACTTGGACATTTTTCACAATAATCTTTATATAGAGGATTCTAGGTAATGCACTGAGCATTGTCTTCTGTAACTGTTTTACATAAAACACACATAAATGCTGCTCCAAAGGTAGTTTCTTACAGTGGCCATTAGGGCTGGGTGATAGGTTTTCAACTTTGTGATATATCACCAGCTAAATATCACAATATATTGATTTATCACAATGTCTGAAATAAGGATGGAGCTATGTAGAAGCATTGGCTGGCTTCACGCTCTTTCCCAGATTGTGATTTTTGTACAGCACACACATACATCATGATTCAATATATATTGCCAGGGTGTGTGTGTGTGTGTGTGTATATATATATATATATATATGCTTTCGTAGATTTTCACGGGTACAGGAATGCAGGTTTTGGTGTCCTCGGGTGTCTTCCCGTGTAAAAGTTGGGGTGTCTAGGCGACGTTTCGACGAGGTCTCACTCGTCATCTTCAGGCTGGTGCTTTCGGCTTCTTGTTACTGGAACAGAGCAGGATCTCAGTGTTTGAGTTCCTATAAATACTGTTGAGGGGGTGTGGTGTATAGCCTCCAATGTTCTGGGCAGAGAGGAAGTTCCCAGGCTAGTGTGCCTTTTCTTCTTTTGTTCCTTAATTACTTGAGGGATATCTTGAGTGATTTCTTGAGTGATATCCTGAGTACCACTTAGGTGGGTCATTAGGTGTGGATTAGTTGCTAAAGCCTTCGTGTCTTGACCTCTTGAACTTTGTGAAGAGTTTTTCTGAGAAGATGGCTGTATTGCATTTAGTTGTGCTCTGGCTTGGCTTCGTGTATAGGGGCGAGCTGTGGTTTTGTGTCCTGTGCCAGCCAGATCTGTGTAGGGATTGCAGGGGGTGCAGCATCCGGAGGTGCCACCATGGTTTGGCTACTGGATGGTGTCTGTAATTTATCTGTGGAGAGGGTCTGGGTTTGGGTCTGGTGTGGTTGATTGGTGATGGCGTTCTGTGTGCCTCTGGATCTGGTGTCGGTTTTTGTGGGGAGGGCTAATTTCCAGATGTCTGGCAGGCGGGATGTGTCGTCACGCTTGTTCATGTTGTGAGGGTGTTTCTCTATCTCGATGGCTTCCATGATTATTCTCTTGTGGTGATGTTCCATGTTAGAGAGCAATTTGGAATCTGCAAAATTAATTTCGTGTCCTGTTTCTTTCATGTGTTGGAAAAGAGAGGAAGTTTTTTCTTCTTTTTTGACGGCATTCTTGTGTTCTGCGATACGTGCATTTATTCGTCTGTTTGTTTGTCCAATGTACGTGGCTGGGCAGACTTTGCAGGGTATTTCATAGACCCCTTGGTTTTCCAACTGGATTTTATCCTTGGGGTTTCTGAGGATATTGGCTATTTTTTGGTTGGTGCAAAAGGCTGTTTTGATATTGTGTTTATGGAGGATTTTGCTAATTTTATCTGTAGTGCCCTTGATATAAGGAAGGAGGGCCATGCCATTGTTTTCTTCTGTGTCTTGGTTTTTGGGGGGTGTTTCTTTTTGCATTAGCTTCGTAACCCTGTTTTGCTGGTATCCATTGGCGATTAACACATTGGAGAGATTCTGTAACTCAGTTGTCAAGTGGTCTTTGTCAGCCAGGCGTTTGGTTCTGGAGATGAGAGTCTTGGCTACGGAGTTTATTTGTGCAGGGTGGTGGTGTGATTGTGCATGTAAGTAGCGGTTGGTGTGTGTTTTTTTCCGGTAGATAGTGTGTCCTAGGGAGCCATCAGGTTTTTTGTAGATTAGGACGTCAAGGAAGGGAAGTTGGTTGTTGGCTTCTATTTCCATAGTGAATTGTATTTTGGGGTGTAGGCTGTTGAGATGTGTGAGGAAGCTATCTAGTTTTTCCTTCCCGTGTGGCCAAATTACAAAGGTGTCGTCAACATATCTGAGCCAAAGTTTGGGTTTGTGTTCTGACTTGTCTAAAGCATTGGTTTCAAAGTGTTCCATGTACAGGTTTGCGATGACCGGTGAGAGTGGTGATCCCATAGGTGCTCCTTCTATCTGTTTGTATCTTTGTCCATTGTGGATGAAGTACGTGTTGGTTAGGCAGTGGTTGGTAAGGTCCAGGATGTATTCGGGGGATTGTATTTGTTTTGAATGGCTGTCAAGGCTTCATTAATGGGCACTTGTGTGAAGAGAGATCTGGCTGGCACAGGACACAAAACCACAGCTCGCCCCTATACACGAAGCCAAGCCAGAGCACAACTAAATGCAATACAGCCATCTTCTCAGAAAAACTCTTCACAAAGTTCAAGAGGTCAAGACACGAAGGCTTTAGCAACTAATCCACACCTAATGACCCACCTAAGTGGTACTCAGGATATCACTCAAGAAATCACTCAAGATATCCCTCAAGTAATTAAGGAACAAAAGAAGAAAAGGCACACTAGCCTGGGAACTTCCTCTCTGCCCAGAACATTGGAGGCTATACACCACACCCCCTCAACAGTATTTATAGGAACTCAAACACTGAGATCCTGCTCTGTTCCAGTAACAAGAAGCCGAAAGCACCAGCCTGAAGATGACGAGTGAGACCTCGTCGAAACGTCGCCTAGACACCCCAACTTTTACACGGGAAGACACCCGAGGACACCAAAACCTGCATATATATATATATATATATATATATATATATATATATATATATCACCCAGCCCTAGTGGCTATCCAGAAAGGCAGAAGGAAGAGCACTAAGCCTTAACTCTGTGAAAGCAATGCTACCCAGAGCCAAAGCAATCAATTCTGAATTGCTTTTTGATGATCTGTATTAATACAGGGATATAGCCTAGAAAGTCTCAAGGAATGGAGAGTTAACGTATCAGTCAAAGAAGCTCTCTCATACACAGAAAAACTCTGCCTGCCATTTAGACGCTGAGTGGACTGAACATGTGAAGATGACCCATTTGCCCATCTAGCTCAGCCCTCTCCTTTGTCTGGGGGGCAGCAGCATCTATCCATGGCGTCTGGGGAGGGGGTACCTCCCCATCCACGCTCTTCCTGGTTTTGGAAATCCTTAACTGGAGAGGCCAGCTGGGAGTTGATCCCAGTGCCTTTCCCTTGCCACGCCTTTGAGCGTTGTGCCACACGTTCCCCAGGGTGGGTGGGTGGGCATTCCACGCCACCGTCCTTCCTTCCTGACTCTCTTGGGCTCTTTCCCCCCACCCCAGAGTCCACGAGGACTGGGAGAGCTTCGTCCAGAGCTTCCGCTCCCGCATGGAGAGCATCTACTTCCCAGACACGGTGGAGGAATGGATGGAGGAGAACGTCAACCCCTACCTGGACCGGTTGCGCGAGTTTGTCCGGGACTTCAGGGAAGTCATCCGCCTCAACGCCCGGCCCAAGACCCAGTAGCGGGGCGGCCCCACCCCATCGCCAGCCCAGAAGTGGGTGTCCGATTCAGTTGCTCCACTGTTGTATTGTCTTTTAAATTGGAAGGAGTGTGCAGGCCAGAGGAGAGGGGTCTTGTGCCTTGCCCTTCAGTCATCAAAGCAGAGGCTCAGTGGGCAGAGTTTGGAGGCTCTTTACAGCCAGTCTCCACCAGGCTTCCTTCTCTCACCCCCTTGGAAGATGGAATTAGGGCTGAGCCAAAACACCCCAGCCCCCCACCCTCTGGGAAAAGCAGTGGGGGCAGCGGCTGCCCCATTTCCCCCCTCTTCTTTTTACTTTTCACTGCTGTAAGTGGTGGACAGTGATGTGGTCTCCCCTCCCTCTGCAAAATGACACTTTCCTTTTTCCTTTTAATTCCTGCTGCTTTAAGTTCTGCCAGAGGCCTGGTGGCTGCTGTTTTACACCACATTGCCTCCGTTCCCCTGGGAATGTCACTATGCCATGCCATGACATCTCAATCTCAGGGGGTACGTGTTGGGGGTTGGCAGTAGGCTGGTGGCCGCTTTCTCAACAGCCCCTGCCTCACTTTCTTTTCCTTCCTTTTAAATGCTCGCTTAGCCATCCTTCCACCTTCAGCTCTCCTCCCTCCTGGAATGACTCTAACCCCCTGCAATGCTGCCCCATGGAAATGACGAGATCTGGCATAGCGAATGTAGTGGGGTGCCCTTCAGATATGGTTGGACTCTCTCCATAAGACCCAGGAGTTGAGGATGGAGGGGTTTGGAGTCTTCAAGGACATCCTGAGGCCTCCGTATTGGCCGCCATATTTGCATCAGGGATGCTTCATCCACCTTGCAAATCTCCCATTTCCACGGGGGGGACGTGGAATCAAAAGGAAGCGTTTGGAGCAGCTCCAACCAGGATAATGGAGTTCTTTCTCCTGGGGGAGTGGGTGACATTGGGAGGCAAACTTTACCAAAATGCCTGTTTGAAGAGGCAGTCCTGAATGGGTGTGTGTGAGCCGAAGCATCAGTCATCCTTCATATGCTCCTTCTCCAAGTCGGCTGATGCGGCTGATGCTTCCTCCATTGATCCCTTCAGCCTCTTGGTTGACTTCACACTGGTAGTATGGTGCAGCAGTGAGAGTAGGCAGGTTAGGCTTGGAGGTGTCAGTTGCCAACATCTAGCCTAAAAAAACACAATCCCAAGTCAGCAGAAGTTAGGAACATCATCATTAGCTGTGAACTCTCTTCCTTCCTTCCTTCCTTCCTTCCTTCCTTCCTTCCTTCCTTCCTCTCTATCTCTCTTTCTCTCTCTGTCTGCATGAGAGGAAATCCCTCTGTTTACCACAACAGCTGTTATTGGGCTGGATCCTTAGCCCCATATAAAATAGAGCCATTGAGATCAATGGGATTTGAGTTATCACCAGCTTAAATGATTTCAGTGGGCCAGCTCTAAGTATGGCTAAGCCACAGCCCAACCTTTTGCAAACAGTCCCTGCAGAAACTCATCCCTTCGCCTTCATGACCTCTAAGGCAGACTCTTCCAAGCTGATATTGTTGGACCACAACCTCCCTAACCCTCTGGCTGGGGCTGGTGGGATTCGTAGTTCAAAACATCTGGAGCTACCCAGATTGGAAGGAGGATGTGCTAGTGGGGCAGGGAGGACACTTGCCTTCTTTTGCAGCCAAAAGGAAACATTGGAGGTTCTCTGGTGGGTCTGTGAAAGGAGCTGACCTGTTGCAGGCAGGAAACCTTTCCTTCTGGGCCCCCCAAAGTGAGCCTCCATGCCATTGCATCCCTGCATCCTTTGCTAGTCATGGCCAGGCAACAGAGCTTCCGAACAAGCCGCTTTGGAACAAAGCAAACCGGCTTGGGTTTCGTATTAATGTGGCTTTAAAAAAATGTCCAGCTCTTGGCCTGGTTCCAGGTTCTCAGCACAGTAGAACAAACAGCCAAAAGCTGCCTGTTTTTTAATCTGAAATGCTGGTGGGTCTTTGGCACCTGCTCGTCTTGGACCAGTTGTGATGGATGCCTCTTGAACGCCCCCTGCTGCTGCTCTGGAGCCTCCCTGGGGTTGAGTTTGTTTTGATTTGAAGATTTCTGAAAAGTTCTATCTCTCCCCCCCCCCACTTCCTCCTTCCTCCTTCCATTCAGAGGCAGAGAATCAGCTGGTGAAACTTCCTTGTTCCTACAATATCTGAAAATCAGCCCCTCTTCTTTTGCCTCTTTTTCAATTCCACCTGCTTGATCACTCACCCTGTTTGGGCTGCTCACCTCACTCATTTCTCCTAAATTCATGTCTCAGGCTGCCTTCTGGATAAAAGGTCCCCATTTCTCTCCCCCTGCTGTGGATTCTGCTGCTCTGGTATTGCTCCGGTGACTGACAGCTGTTGCCCCTCCCAGAAGGCGTGATCTCGGTCGCTGGTGGATCTGGTTTGGTTGGGGAATCTCCAAGTTGCATTGCTGTTTGGGTTTTTGATTTTTTTTTTTTTTTGTACAGAACAGATTGCTTCTGTAATGTGGATGACAAAGACGATGGTAATAATAAAGTATTTTTTTAAAGAAGTGGTCCTCTGTATGCCAGTGTTTGTGCTAAACAGACATGGGGGCTGATTTTGGGATATCTTTTCAAGGTTCCTATTCTGATGTTGGTTAGAAAAAAGGACATTAAAGAAAAAGTTTTTATTTTATATAAGATTATTTATATGCTGCTTTTGCAGGGATCTTGTTTGTTCACCTATTTATTTAAACATGACCATGTCCAAAAAATACGACTGGTCTAAATGTCTAATGAGTCCATTAGTAGTATGAGCTATCTTTTTTGCTATTATTAAATTATTCTTTTCGTTTCTAATTAGTGACATACAGTACATATAGAGAGAGGTAAAAAGAAAACATTTCATTTGAAAATGAACTTAAAGGAACAAACAGAATGAAAATTCAGAGATTTTCACACTGTGGTCCGGGTGCTGGAGGTAATGGGAGTTGTAATCCAAAACTTCTGGAGGGCATCAGGTTGGTGAGGGCTACCCTATGGAATATTTAAGTCATTAAAGAGATAGGTCCTCATCAAGCTATGTTGCTTTTGGTTTGGACTTTTTTGTTTTATTTTAGTTTTCAAACTAATCTAATGATAGATAACTTGTGGAGATCACCCACCCAAATATTCAAAAACCGCTACCCTGTTTTTTTAGGGTTGCCCCATTTTGTTCTATTCCCAAACTGGTAGCCACCCAAGCTAGATGCTGTTATAAAAATAGAGTCAATATCCCATTATGGATTCATTTGGGCACTTACTCTGGGACAAGAAACAGCAAATGAGAGAGAGAGAGAGAGAGAGAGAGAGAGAGAGAGAGAGAGAGAGAGAGAGAGAGATTGTCTGCAGACTCACTATTTTTCCGGAGAGATTCAAGCACATTCTGGGGAGAGATGTAGGTTTGTGCTATTTAAGTTAATTAGACAGCCTGGTTGACAAACCCACACTGAAAAAACAAAGACTTTCTGCAGTTTGGGAGGTGTTAGGGAAACGCATTGCAAAGTGCAGGATGAACAAATGAGGAATGGGAAGATATCTAAACACCCTGCAAGCAAATCGGGATGGATTCTCCAACCACTGTCGGAGGCAGAATGCTTCTAAACACCAGTTGCTGCAGAATGCAAGGGAGTGGGGGCTTGCTGCTGCTGTGCTCTGGCCCTACTTGCTTCCCATTGGGGCATCCCTGTGAAAACAGGATGTTGGACAAGATGGACCGATCGCTGGCTCCTATGTTTGCCATGCAGGACGGATGCTTGTTTTTCTATAGCCGTCCCATAAACAAATCACAGTAAAGGCTAGACACAATCTAATCTCCATGCAAGCAAACCAGTCTGCATGCTCAATAACAGGGAGAGCTGGAGGAGCCCCCAGAGTGTTTCAGCCAAGCATCACCACCACAGCCTCTTTGCTGATGCAGTTTCACATCTGTCCCTTGTGGTTTTTGCACTCGATTTGGAGGCAGAATTCTTTCAGCCAAGAGGTGGAGCCGTTCTCTCAGATCTCTTGCAGGGAGGCAGGTGCGACCGTATTTCTCCTGAGTACCAGCAGTTCCATCTATGTCTGTGAGAGGTTCTCTTGCATCCACTCAGAAAGCCATCCTGCTGATTTTATTTATTAAGGAGATTTGTGCCACCTGTCCCCCTCCCCCCCCATTTCAATTTCAGAAGCTCAAGGCAGCTCACACTAATGGGATGGCTGGGGAAGGGGCAATACCCCAAAAACAATAAAGCACAGAAGAATATTGGAAGATTTGGGACAGACAAAAAGGTAGGGCTGATTGTCATTTGCATTTATATCCCACCTTTTCCTCCAAACAGCTCAAGGCAGTGTGCATAGTTCTCCCTCTCCTCATTTAATCACCACAACAACCCTGCAAGGTAGGATAGGTTGAGAGTGACTGACTGGCCCAAGAGTCACCTGATAACGATAACGATATCTTTATTGTCCTTGTCCCATTTGGAACAGTGAGCTTCATGGCTGAGCAGCGATTTGAACCCTGGTCTCCCAGGTCCTAACCACTTCACCACACTGGCTCTATCCTCTTCTTCACACAGCAGGTGTTAAACTATGGAACTCACTCCCACAAGATAGAGTTACAGCCACCAATAAAGCAATGGTTATGTTCTACCTTCACTGTTAAAGGAAATGCACTTCTAAGATGCTGGACCAGGTGGGCCTTTGACCTGATCCAGCTGATGTTCTTTTTCTTCTGATGTTCTTAAAGCAAACCAACACCACACCACAACCTGCCATACACGGGTTGGAGGAACATGTACTATAATCATGGCCATTCCCTGCAGTTTTGCAGATTCACTGATGAGCTGGGACCTATCCACCGCTCCAAAGTTTCTCTGGATCTCACCTGCCAAGATCTCGTCTGGCGTTTGTCCCCAGAGCCTGTCTGGAATGCTTGAGCCCAGTCTGGCACCCGGCTAGACCCAAAACCGTTGGTGTTCCTGAGCATGGGCAAAGCGCTCTTTCTTTTTGGCCAAGTAGCTGGAAGCAGAGCGGATCTTTGGTGCAGCGCTGAGCCAGGTGTTGCTTCGGAAGGTTGGCGATTTCTCAGCCTTTGGAGAGCAAGACGCTGTTTAATCAAGGGAGCCGAGCCGTAAGAGACGAGAGCCCGCAGCCTCTTGCTGCCCTGCTGGGAGAGCAGGATTCATCCATCTTGCTTCTTTGCCTGCCTCGCTCCCCGCTGAGCCCAGCACTTCCGCGGCAGGGGAAATGTAGGCACAGCACTGCTACAGGCTCCTGCCACAGACAGGAATCTGGGTCACTCCTGCCTGGGTGACAACGAGTCCTCCTGAGGGAACCGCGTCCCTCCTTGGCAGCTGGTTGGTCTCTCCTTCGGAAGGCAGCCGGCACTGCCGCCTGCAGGGCAAGGTAGCTCTGACAGACAGAGGCCAAGTTCTCACCAAGGCCACCAGCCCCTGTGTTACAAACAGAGGAAGCTGCCTTATACCGAGCCGAGTCTTTGGTCCATCCAATTGCCCGAGAGCATCCTTGCTTTCCAGCGGGGCACATTCCCAGCCCAAGCTGGAGATGCTGCCCCTGGGGATTGAACCAGGAACCTGCTGCATGCAAGGCAACTGCTATTCCACTGTCCTATGGCCCTGCCCTAGCAAATGCTGAGGCTATATTCCTTTTAAAGCCATCCAAGTTGGTGTCCATCACTGCAACCTATGGGAGCAAATCTCCCAGTTTGACGAAGTGCTGTGTGAAGTTGCCTTTCCTTTAATCTCTAAACAGCTGGCTTCATTGGATGATCCTGCTGGGATCTAGTATTACCAGAGAGGGAGCAAAAATGCAAATTACTCTCTCTCTCTCTGATAATAATTTTTATTAGTTTTCAATTACAATCCAATAATAGCCTCATTATAACAATGCCAAATTATAATACAATTACTAATACCAATAATTCAGATACCAAATTATATAATTTAGGTGCCCCCCACATGATAGAATTGATGGTTTGATGATTTACTTTTTCTCTGCATTCCAAAATCTTATTAATTTCAATTACACTCCGGTCAAAATAGCAATCCTTATGCAATAACTGCAATATTAACAACTTCCATTCATATTGACACATTAAATGATTTATAAAACTACTTTCTCTGCGCCATCTATCATCTTATGCATCTTTATCATGTCCCTTCTTCTTTGCCCCTTTCCCCCCCTAAATTAGGAAGCCCCAAACCTTGTAATTTTTCCTCATTGGCGAGCTGTTCCAACCCCGAAGAGAGCCAGTGTGGTGTAGTGGTTAAGAGCGGTAGACTCGTAATCTGGTGAACTGGGTTCGCGTCTCCGCTCCTCCACATGCAGCTGCTGGGTGACCTTGGGCTAGTCACACTTCTTTGAAGTCTCTCAGCCTTACTCACCTCACAGAGTGTTTGTTGTGGGGGAGGAAGGGAAAGGAGAATGTTAGCTGCTTTGAGACTCCTTCGGGTAGTGATAAAGCGGGATATCAAATCCAAACTCCTCCAAACTCCTCCGAATTCATTTTGGGGGGGAAAGTCTTTCTAAAGCAATTGGCAAGCCTCTTGCTATTATAGCATCCTGCCAGCCTCCAAATCTACACAGAGTATCGGTACGAGTTGTGCTAAACCATCCGTCAACAATTCTCAATCACATCCTTCTGAATCGAAACACTGAGTGACCTGGGTTTATCTCATGGAGCCAGTCACAATATCAAGCAAAACTCACAATATCAAGCAGAAACATCACCTGCCGGCCCTAAAATGTAATTGACATAAGTTCATATGAACACAGAAGAGCCTTGCTGGATGAGGCCAATACCCTGTCTAGTCCAGCATCCTCGTTTCACAGAGGCCAACCAGATACTCCAAAGGGAAATCTGCAGGCAGCACGTGAGAACAAGAGCCCTCTCCCCTCCTGTGGTTTCCAGCAACTTGTATTCAGAAGCATGGCTGCCTGTAACTGCAGAGGCACAGCATTCATAGTCACTGATAGCCTTATTCTCCATGAATTGGTCCAGTCCTCATTTAAAGCCACTGGTGGAGGATGATATACAATAAATTGGAAAAAAAATGTTTAAAATGACATTTGTAAAAAAAACACACCCAGAAGCATTTTTGTTAGGGATTGTAGGACAAGACCTGCCAAGAAAAACAAAGAACTTACGGTATTTATGTATGCTACAACAGCGGCAAGAGTCTTGATAGCACAAGGGTGGAAGAATGAGGAAATCCCAATGAAAGAACAGTGGCAAGAAAAACTGATGAGCTATGAAGTTGGCTAAATTGACATACAAACTGTGAGACAAGGACAACTGTGACTTTAAGGAAGAATGGGAGCTTTTTTACAAATTATCTGAAAAGACAACAAAATGAACTGGACTCCTTGGCATACACAAATTTATTGGTTGATAACATGATAGATAGAAAAGGTAAGGAGATATGTATATTTTTGTAACATGCAGGGAATAATATGTGCAGAGAAATCAGAGAGAGGAGCTGAGGGAAGTCCTTGGGGGAGAGGGGAGGGAGGGATGGAAGGGGGGTGGGAA